CACCAACCTCAACAAGTGATCGAAATAAATCAAAGTGGTCACGTCCAGTTCCGTCACAGCAAATTCCAAATTTATGTGGTAAAATTCGAGCGACAATGCCTCGTAAATATCGAAATGCTTCAACTTGATCATTACTTTGAGTAATATAAAAGCCAATCCGTTCATCCCTTGCATATAAAAACTACGAGATGGTGCAGATCCTGCAGACGAAGGTGACACAGGTGCCTCATCCGTTCGTACGTCGATAAAAAAGCATGCAATACTTGCTTTAAATGTTCTAAACGAAGTGCACGTTCAGTATCATTAAGCTTCGGAGCACCTGCAGATCCAGCGAGCCACTTGATTGTTCGCGGTATATCCTTTTGTACTTGAGCTTCGTCTCTGAAAATATCACAATACCACAATGTTACTTGTGAATAATGAACAAAGGTTAAGTGCATCATTCACTCATCGGAAAGTCGAGTCTCAATCTGTCGTTTGAATAAATTTTGGTTCTCTTCATTACTTTGTGCAGAAGTTAAAGCCCAATCGAAAATTTGTTGCCAGTAGGTGCTGCGTCACGTTGAATTCTGTTGCATTAAATGTATAGCTTCGACGAACCTGCCATTTGATTGAAGCTCATGAAGCATGCCAATCAATTCAATTTTGGGCAAATACGCTGCTGACTGAATTCAAAGAGGACATGTGATGTTGACAATGAAGCAATGAGTAATGAACAGCGAAGCAAGAGAAGAAAAATGATATCACTGAGGTGAAGAGTGCATCCATGTTTGATTCTGCTCATTCTCACTATCATTATTCTCGATGTCTGTGTACTGGTTCTTCGATAGTTTCCAGGTATGGTTGTCGATCCACTTCATTTTTGGAACGTAGTCACCATCACTTTGATGGCCGGATTACTTTAAGCTTAGCATTTTCCTGGTCAAACACGCGATAATCCTTGACATGTTCAGCATGATGGCGAGACATTATTTGAAACTCATGGTTTCGAGCTGTGTTCTCCTTACATCGTGACGTTAGCGTAATCCCGCGATTCGAATTTACGTACGCGATAGATCCGAAACGCTTCGTTTTAAAAATCGACTTAAGTGGCTTCATGTTGAGATAGTGTATTCGTCGAGCGACTTATCAGCCAATCTGCTGTTTTCAATGCTTATTTTCACCATTCAATTGAGATAACATGTTCGTTATTATCGTCTTGGTCATGCGCCCCGCCATCTCATTTTGCTGAGGGCTATATGAGACGGAATTTTGGTGAACAATGCCGCTTCGACGACACACATCTGCCACCGTTTTGTTCACTGGTTCTGTCCTGTTGTTGTAGTTCAAGCACTCGAGGCCCTATAGATTTTTGTAAGGAGTCTTCGATTCCTTGAAGGTGTCAGATACTTCATTCTTACTCTTGACCAAGGAACTCGCAACATATCGTAGAAAGTCATCCGCAAAAGTTAGATATAGTTTTCCCCACCCTTCGACGGAGCCCTCGTTGGGCCCACCATATCTGTGTGTACGTGCTCTTGTAGACGTCTCGCTGAACGCTTTGTTCGCGGCCTTCTTTTGATGCACCTTCTCTTATTATCTAAGCATTTTTTTTACTTCAGTCAATGTGATATTCTTCGCATTTTTCATGATCGATAAGTGATGCGTCCTTTGGCATCCCATTATCTCGAGATCCACAATGGACCGTCAAATTAGGCTGGAAAGTTTACCCATACAAAGAATTACTTTACATAATGAAGTCAGGCAAATTTCACGTTCTCGTCACGCACGATTGGGCGGTGTCGAGCGATTGTAAATTTCACGTCGCGTTTCTCATGCCTCAATGGCAATCATGGCTGATCGTATTGTGGTCTGACGCTGAATCAACGCTTTGCGCAATGATACCTAATGCCTCACTTCCATATATGAGCCACTTCACGGTGATACTATTCTTACCATTGACAGCCATGACACGCTCGAAAGACCCTGAATCGTCATCTTTCTGAATTCCTAATGGTATAAGTTACTACTCCTGGTGGACTTCGATGTGCGTGCCCGCCATTGTAGGTGCGAACGTTTAAATAGCTTTAAGTTCAGACGTCAGCTACGTGGTCATTTCTCTATTTTTGTTCACAATGATTGCCTCTTTATGATATTGGGTCGCATACCGAAGTGTAAAGCCGAATATACTATCACTACAGTAATATGAAAGGATTTTCGGCACATTATCATACATAACACAGTAATTAAAAGTGATCCACCCCCTGGTCATCAAGCATCACCGGCACGGGTCAACCCTCTCTTGGCTGTCTCACATGCTGCCCGAGGGTATCAGTATACATCTAAAACTGAATTTGATCAAATCTGAAATGGCCTCTGAGCTTCGCCATCGCAAAAAATATCCCCAACGTCTCTAAGCGCAGCGTTGCTGTTCTAAAACAAAGGGTCGAATAGCTACAGGAAGAAGAATTTTTCACCTGCAACAGGGTCACTCGCATTCTGACTAGCTTGTAAGAGTAGAGCAATGATACGGATATCAGTAAGCTAATGTAGAACAGAGCACGTGCTTGATTTTTTTGTCTTTTGAGTAAAGCTCAATCCGTGTTCAATGTAACGTGGGCGCAACTATGTGTCATAGACCGCAATCACAGAATGTGTAGGTAGCATAACAGCGTTAATAAAACCTATAACTTCATGACATATCCAAAATAATGTTCTGAGCCTTTAGCATCTGGAAATTGCCTATGGACATCTTGGTTTTCAGCTATGACGTCACACACACCTTGCTCGACGCTTATACTCATTGAGATAAAGCACTCATTAAGCTTTATAGTGAGTTTGACTTGATATTAGCAGATCAAGTTGACTTCTAAGCTCTCCCACCACTAACACCACAGCCATCGTCGAAGTTACGTGATGGATATCCAAATCATTTATTGAATATCTCGTGAGCTTGCAGAGGTATGTACTGCGATAATTAGCGTGAAATTTAATGAGTAAATTGACTCAATCAAGCAGAACCATAATCTTCTCTGACTTAACGAACGTTTCGAGCGTCTAAAGCTTCTCTAGATCAGCACGATTCTTCTTTGCAATTCATTTAAGGGATATTTATATTGATACATTTCATGCGCTTCCGGCGACTTTCCATTTTTAATAGTCAATTATTAATTTAGAATTGGCACCTAGAATAATGATCGCTTAAGTTAGCTGTTTCACGCATATCTCTTCAAGAAACAGTGACTTCCAGCGAGTCATACTGGCAAAAATATTTGTCGATGAACAGCATGGCACCCTCACCGGCTTCTGCATTGTTGACAGCCTGACAGATGCACCTTCTCGCTTAGGCAGTCCACAAATACCTTTTCTTCGCTACCACAATGTCGCGATAATCAGTCACGTTAATTGTAATATAAAAAATATAGTTTTTTATGGTCGGCCAACACTCTGCCGGAAGCGACAGGCTGTCCAAATGTACCAAACTGCGAGGGTTTAAAAACACAATGTCACGTATCCATATGCACATAGATGTGCTTACCACCTTACATGTTGGATCACAAATTATTATCTCACCGAGCAGTAATACTTAAACACCAGTATGTTTTGAAGTATCATGTTGTCAAAAGTGGTTCGCATAATAAGTTTGAAATTATTTGTTATCAGTAAACCAACTTGTGTGCAGAGATTCTCATGGTTCTTAGTGCCTGCATACGATCGCAGCAGTTTAATCCCTCGCTAGGATTATATTTAACGGCAAAGTCCATTCAGGCTAATAATCGATTAACCTTCGCAGCAGCTTTTGGCCGCATAGAGTGTGAACGGGCATGATAATTGAGTATCAGACGCCGGTCGAACCTCGATGTCTATATCGTTTGGTTGAAAATGCTCACAACAAATGGCTAACATACGGTCAGCGACAGACAGGACAAAATGAATGTATAGGTTCTTAAGGGCTAACGTCTTACAACTGAGAGAACTTTGGTGATGATGCCCTGATTCCTCAGTGACAAGATTAGCTGTGTTTATTAATGTATACACCATCACTAAGGTTTGTGTTTTTGCTAATGAAACCCATTTGTAAAACGCATTGTAGATGCTTTGTACGCTACTTCTATCCCTATTCAGAAAAATAGCTCAAAATTCAGACGTCAGCTTTTTTTACTTTTGTTCACGATCATTTGTTATTTCAGGGCTAGTCGCCTGCTGATTGTGTTGGGATGAAACCACTGAATGCATGTTGAACAGGCGGATGACGTCATACTTATTACAAGTACGTCACATTAAATAATTACGGACTAAGTGATTACGGACATAAATAGCGTCGCTGATTGGATGAAGTAAATCAGGATCTAGTATAGTGAGCCTAGTATATGAAATGATTGGCTTAGAGGTAGCAAGCGTTTTTGCGAACTAAGGACCTATAATATAGTCACTTCACATTTTGCGTTCTACTGCACACTAGTCTCAACAGGTTAACAGCTAAACAGTAGGAACGCACAAGACTCCTTAACCCTGCCCCAACGATGTCGACCAAGAGAAGTGAAATCCTGCTAGGTAATGGATACTATTTCCCA